TTCAAAAAGTCCTCACCAGTGACATGTGACGAGATCAGGCGTTGGCGAGAAGGAGAAATATACAGAAGCAGCTTGTGTACACTTTTCATTTTATTCACACTATCTCTTTGATGCATTTGTCTTTGATAATCATTTTAGTTTTTGAGTTATAACCTTTTGAAGTCAAGATACTTTAACTCTTTACTGTGAGCACACCCATATCTCTATCTATCTATACAGTACATCTAGTTATACATTATATACAGTACATATCCACTGCTAATCCACTGCCCATTGACGACACGTACTCTTACACAGCAGCGTTGGAGACAGCTGCGTCTGCGCCACATTCCCAGCATGTTATTCCGTCCACTGTAGCCTCTCCAGATGTGATGGTAATTGGTTCACATTTCTCCCTGATGCCCGTTAGCCGTCCATCTCCTGTCTGAATGTAAAAGACCCTCCCGTCTCTTTGACAGTCTCGGCAGCGTGCTCAAGAGCTGTCAAGTAATTGCGCTGACTCGGCAGGATTCCCCCACTCCCTGCGTACCCTCCCTCCCAAATAAACATGAGGAATATTGGCTTTATGAATAGAACAGAGAGTGGATATCAGTGCCAGCTACTGTACTTAAGGCGGAATGAACCAAACACTTCTGAAAATAATTAGTGCGAACGGCAGATTGGAGGAGTGACGCCTTAATGCTATTTCTGTCCAGGGCGTTGTTGACTTTATGCTAATGTGGAGTCTTTAATGAACTTATACTATTTAAATATGGAGAGAGTCTACTCACAATAGTATACAGTCTGGGATTTGCCCAATTTTCACAGACAATATTAGGATTGATGAGAAAAATGGAAACTGGAATCCCCTAATGGTGAGTTGTCATTCAGTTGAGCCTAATTGCCAAACAGAAGAAGAAGCCTCTAATTGGAAGTCAAAAGGAATCCAATTTATTTCAGAGGCATCTAATTGCATATGTTTAATAGAACAGAACTTTGCAAGATTCATATGTTCCCAAACAGAGCACCAAGAAAGTGTGTTGAAAGGAGGATAGGATTATATTTTTACATCATGTGTTATGTGTATTTACAGTTATTTTAGAGAAAGAGCCATAGACCATGTGACCATAGACCAGGCATGTCCAAACTCAGGCCCGCGGGTCAAATGCGGCCCTCTGCGTCATGTTATCTGGCCCTCTGCCTCGCTAACACACAATATCATAGACACCAGTTCACAGTGTCATACAGCCAACTTCAGCTCTACCAATTTGCTCTGACTAATCCCTGCACGACTGAGAGCTCACACAAACTAGTTGTAAAGCTTGTTTTTGGTATATACTCGTTAGTTGTTTTTGATTGAGTTGCTACCGTCGCCAACGTCAACCTTATTAAAGGTGACCTTAAAGTTAAAACTGTTTTTTTAATCCAAGTTGTCAGCCCCTGCACAATCAGGCAAACTAAAGTGACCCTATTTCCAAAATGTTTGGACACCTCGGCCGGTGGTGGAGGGGCCGATGGCACAGACGGGTTGCCTCACTTCTGTCAGAGTGTCCCAGGGCAGCTGTGGCTACAACAGTAGTTTATCCCCACTGTGTTTGGAGTGAAAAAATAATGACATGTGAAGAGACTTTGTGTGTCCTGAAAAGCACTGTATAAAACTGAAATTCATTAATATTATTTTTTGTCCGAAGATTATAATTCTACACCTCATATTTGACCTTTTCTGAACAAAACATTAAATTATTCATAATTCAACTCACCATGAGCCTGATGTCAATGATATTTCAAGCAGATAATTCAATCAGAGCGCAGAATTAAGACCTTATTTGGGTTGCCAGTTTATTTTTCTGGTTCTGCAAAATACACAAAAAAAACCAAACAACATAAACACATTAGTTTAAATGAAAGCAGTTAGAAAAAAACAAACGTAATACAGTTTGCAGTGTGTCTAGCTAAACTCCAGCAGGTGGTTTGCATTAGTAGTCAGTGCTTATAGGAGCTGTATGTGTTGCTGAAGATTCTGACCACAAAAGTGTGATTGTAATGATGAATGAGGCCCCTAAGAGTGTATATTATGTACTGTCCCTTTAAGTAAACTCCCTACATTGTCTTGAATGATATCCTTTCCCGTCTCCTAAAAACTAATACAGCTTTTAGGAGGATAAGGGAAAAGGGAAGATGGTCCAGAAACACATTATTTTACAATCAAGATATTTTCTTCCTGGATAAAAGCTAAAAAAAAAAAAACAGGTTAAGAGATTACATTAGCGCAGTCATCCTACTTTTGTCTGATATAAAAGAAACATACATTCTCAATCAGAAGAAAACCAAATAAAACCCGAAAACCAGAGACTTTGCAGACAGAGAGCAGCCATTACGATCCAATGTAAGACTGGAATCTGAGACCAGCTGTGGAGATGTAACCATAAGTACTTAAAGCCACTCTATATAATGTCCTTCACCTGAGAATGCTGTTTTTAGCTTTAAGATCGACCACACTTAGCCAAAATCTTAGTTTACCCAGACGATTCTTGCCTCTCAGTCTTGGTCTTGGCACCGTGTCCTGCGGCTCAGAAAACAGACTTTAAAACATCATCTAAATGCACTGTTTTTGTTTTAATGACGCTATTTGAAAGTTTTTGCTTTTTACAAGTCTGTGTGGGCGGGTCCTGGCTCCAAAGGGTCCAATCTCACTCCGTTTCTGTGGGGGTGTACCCGGAAAGAGAATCACCCAATGCTTTTGTATGGCGTCTTCTTTCCTCTTGAAAAACGTCTTCACAGAATGGTGCAAAAGTCGCTCTTAGCCCTAGTTCCAGATGCTGTCGATGTTAAGGGGCGTATTTTTTATTGGACAAGTCTAGTTTAGCCTCTGTGGACTTTTGAATGCACTCATAAAATGAATAGGGCTAACGCAGCTAACGCTTGCGCAAATGCGTTTTTTCACATTTCCTGAGGGAGGGGCTACTTTGAAAAAGCCCACAGAATGTAAAAGTGGTGGCACATTAGTTTCAAGGGTGGAGACTGTAAATATCAACAGACGTAGTGAAGCTTATGTTTTTACAGCTCCTTTCAGTCGTCTTGTGTATGAGTTGAGCCATACAATTAAACTTGCCTCTGCTTGTATAGAAGTCCTCACTTGGCCCCCACCGGTACTGAAAACTAGAACACTAGTACAGGATGGACGGAATGGATTCTTCTAGATATTTATTCACACAGGAAAGGATTATCACTGATCTTTATGTATCTTTCAGCATTCAAATAAAATAAAATACATTTAATTTGTATCGCCCAAAATCAACAACAATAATCAAAGAACCGCCAACTCCCAACGGCTCAGGACCAGTCCTCAGGTTCAGGGAGTCCAGGGAGTCCAGGGTTAGGGTTCAATTCCCCTCAATGCGTTCATGGATGGTAGTGGGATGGATACTATGGCATGTTATACTTCATTTTAAAGATTACTTTCTGAGGAAAACAACCAACAAATGTACCATGTTCTCTTTTTGTAATCATAAAAAGTACGGCCAACGGTTGTAATTATTTTTTATATTTGTCCCACAAATACGTCTTCTCTGACGTATTTGTTCAAGCCAAAAATGAGGATTCATTTTATTTTCTGCATCATTTTCATTCACAGAACCCCCATCTCCTCACCATAGGCTCGGGACTAATCCTCAGGTCCAGGTTTCGAGTCCCATCATACAAAGTCAAAGACGACTTCTATCCTGTTCTGTACTTCATGTTTTGTGTTTTTCAGTCTGTTGATGAGTTACCATGACCCAAGATGACCGTGACCATGAATAGGAGCTGCAAGATGTTGGCTTTTTCTGCCAAATATTTCTATTGCTATTAGACTGGCTATTTTATGAAATGACCAAAAGCAACTGTCAAACTAATGGAAAATCCTGCAGAGATATTTGTGCTGGTTTTCCAAATAATTTCCCTTCTGGGTCAATTTTAGACACATTTGCATGATCCCACGTCTTAAGAAGGGTGAGGGTTAGGCTTATATTATACTGTCCATAAAGAAGACAGTATTTTATAAAGGCTTGTTGTTCGCAAATGACATAAATAATTGTCTTTTATTGCCATAAATTGTTCCTTGTAAGATGTGTTTTTCCTTCAAGGTCCATTCTATACATTGCGGATATCTGTACTCTAGAGAAAAAAAAAATCATTCTTGTATATGTTTCAATGATTCCAATGTATTCTTTCATGTTCTAGAGGTTCTTTGGGTTGCCTTGACTGCATATTGTGCCTCAGAAATAAACTCGCCTTACCATGAGAACCTCGAGCCTTGTTATTTACAGTATCTAATTTACCCATCTGTATGGATCATGTTTCTTCGGCTACAGTGTGTAGTGACAAAATCTTTGTGAATCCTGTAATGTCACCTGATATCTGACCAAGCAGTTGCCTTCTTCCCTCTAAATCAGGTTTGGCTAGCGAGTAACACGAATGGGAACAGACTACTAGCGTTGCTCCGGATTAGCTCTTTGGATGCTGGGCTGTTGCTGAATCAAGCTCCAGATTCCCGCCAATGAAGCCGGGTTGGCTGTCTCCGCAATAATTCATACACTATCGGTGACTTCAGAACTCAGTTAGACCTTTTACAGTTTGAAATCCTTGTGTACCGGGGTTGAGACATGCCTTGGAGGTACAACACCAGAATTAGCGTAAGTGCAGCTATCTACAAATGTAGCTCTGTTTTTTTATGGAGAAACACTGTTGTAACATGGCATGAAAGCTCCAACAAGTCGATTTCGCATTAGTATGTCTGCTTTAAAGTCGATTCCGCACACCGGTCAGGCTCGTGTTTACTAAAACCACCATCGTCCGTGTTGTTGGAGTTAATCATTCATCAGTTTACGGTCGAGTCAATCGGCTAATCTGCTGAACTTGAGAGAACCTGTGTGCCTGACGGGGAGCGTATTAAGTTTAGGTCAATAATCCTGTGTGTGTCTGTGTGTGTGTTTGTTTGTGTGTGTGTGTTTGTTTGTGTGTGTGTGTTTGTGTACCCGCAGGGACGTACGTGACGCAGGTTACAGCCACGGACGCGGACGACCCCACCTACGGCAACAGCGCTCGCGTGGTCTACAGCATCCTCCATGGACAGCCGTACTTCTCTGTGGAGGCCAAGACAGGTACGGATCTCTGCACGTTACTGCTGCTGCATGTGGTGGACTTTAAACCCCTAATTGTTTGCATTTTGGAGTTTAGAACGTGAATTAAGTAATAAAAAGAAATATATGAATAATGTATAATTGCATGAGTGATGGAGGATTTACAGGACCTCAGGCTGTAGTGGTATCGGATTGGTCGGTCACAGGCGGAGGACAACTTCCCTTCTCTATAACTGAACACTGAAAGTACCAGAACTCCCAGAACCGTCATTTTGACTGCTCCCATTTGAACCAATGGGATTCTGAGAAATTGCCCCAAAGAATATTTAGTTTTTCACCACTTTCCCTTTTAAGTATTAGGACTAGTCATTGGAACTGCAACTAAAATACAGCAAAAAAAGCTGATACTAACTTCTGACAGCAAACTTTGTGTTGCTATGGTAACTAACTACGCTTTGTGACTCTGGTCTGTGAAAGGCGGTATATAAATAAAGCTTACTTACTACTTACTTACTAACACTTGATATTCCTAAACAGTCACATTTCAAAAGTAAAAGCTCATTTTAGAAAAATAATTATGACATAGATATAAACTACTGTGAGGGTTTACAGAACACATGGCTGGGTCGGAAAGGGCCGTTTTCAGAGGTTTTTTAATAAAAACTCTCAACAATGGGAAATTACAAAAACGTATTTACAGGGCACAGTGAACAGTCTTCAGGCGAAAAGGATATTTACAAATAAAATATACGCGACTTCTGCAATAAGTCTCTTTTCCCTTACTTTACACTCAAGCTCCTGCAGTTCACATTACCTTCTCTGTAATGAGTCACAGCTGCCATGGGGCAGACAAGCACACCTTTTGTACCCTGCTGGCCCCTCCCACGTTATTAATATTTCATATTACAGTTCCACATTGACACATTTGTCATAAAATTGTTGCATTGTTCTGACTTTAGATTCAACTTTATTGTCATTACAATCTAATGTAATCTAAAGTAAAATCCAGTTTGGTTCTATCACAACTTTTTGCACGTTTGGCCTCCGTCAACGGAGTGTTTTTTCTATCTCTTTGTTTTGTAAATCATGTCCTTTAAAGTTTCAATGAAGTTCGGGGAAGGACAAAGTTTCCCTAAAATAGTTGGAAAGTATTTGTCCAATCTTTCCCCTTGACTCCTGAGGGATGTGCCGCCACAAATCAATTTTAAACTGGATGTTAATTTGGTTCCTCACCCTGAACCCGGAGTCACTCAGAGAATCATGACTAAACCGGGCTTTTACTCATTCTCATTTCATTCTTGTGACATGCAGAGAGGCAGGATGGTGTAAATGATCATGGATTTTCTACCACAGCCCACTTCTATGCAAATCCGAATCAATATGAGACCGGCCATTGGCGATAATGAAGTTAGCAGTTTGAACTTGAGTGTTTCGGCCCAAGATGACATCACATTTAGTCGATCTGAGAGAATGTCATTGGGATTGACATTGACTGGGACTGAAGATAAATGTATTTTCTTTTCTTTTATGACAATGCTTTTAACAGTAAGTTTGCATGTTCTTCTCATGCATTGGTGTTTGGCTAAGTTGTATCAAGTTGGCTAATACTAGGGCTAGCCAACCTAATTTCAGCCTGGGAAGTTTAATGTTTAATGTGGCTGCATGATTAGACACTCGGGGCCCGGCAGACCCATTTTGTGGTCCTATAGATGTCATGGATTTGATACCTGTAATGTACAATAAGACCACGGCAAAGGAGACCCCGACAGAAATATTGCATGATGTAAGCGGGAGGCAATTCTGAAACCTGTAAGATCTTAACTCTGGGACTAGAAGAAGCTGAGCCAAAAACGTGATGATTCTCTGCTTAAAAAGGTGGTGATGGGGAGGAGGTGGGTTGCTGCACAAATATCAGCTTGATGTGAAGACAGGTGCGGATGCGTAGCAGAGAGTGAACACTAACAACTGGTCCTTCCATCTTGAAGTTTTTTGTTTTAGCTTATCCAGAAGTTTATCCCATGTCCTTTCCCAATGGCTATATCAAAACAATATTCTGTAAACATGTAATTTATTTTGGTAATTATTTGATGCTTTTTGTGGAAAGAAAACAAAGAAATCTCGTCCAATATTAATGATTCTTAGTTTTAACCAGGGTACCTATCTTTTGAAAGTAGGTTACTCTGGAAGTATTCTATGAGCTCCGAATTAAGGCCACACTCTATACAGCAACCTGGCTTCCCAAACCTTTCCCTACAATTTTCTCATATGTTTTTTTTTTAAATATAATTATCTATTTGATGGAATGTAGCTGTTGTCTATCTCTGGTAAAGGTCCAGGGCTCCATCTTAAAGGTGTACAGGAAGATTGTCTTGTTCCGGGTGTATTATCAAAACCATTGGCTCTCCCAATCGTCTATAATCCTGGTGATACGTGCTCGGCAAATAAGACCAGAGAGTTTGATTCAAAAAGTGAAGAGGGCAGTTTATTCCTAAAATGTATATACCTTTAAGTCTGTTTAACATCGAAAAAATTAGAATAATGATAAACCCTCTTGGGCCTTTTGCGACTGCATTTTATCAGAAGCCGGCTGCGTTTTTCTCTTTTTAGTCCAACAGTCCCACTTCGTTGTGAATCACCTTGAACCTTAAGACTTTTAAGTTACACATTACAACACTGCATTATCATGAAAAGCTGTATTTGCCTTTTCCAGAGTACGTTTCACTCTATCTGCTGCTCTTATGCCTTCCACAAGTGCTGGTATAAAACCGTATCATCGCTCGCTCCTCTCCCACCGCGGCGTTAACATTGGATTGGATCTCATCTCACTTGTGCTCTATGTGCAAATGCAGACGCAACAAAAAAAAATTAAAAAATAAAACGGCCCCAGAAATGATCCTGGTCCAATTGTTTTTATCTCTGCGTGTAGGCGGGAGGGAGTCAGTGGATTAAAAGCCAGTGAAAGTTTGAGATTGGCGAGTGGCCGTGAGCGTGTAGTGGTTGTGTTGTAAATCACCCGTTAGTGTGTAACTGTCAGCGGAACGGCGAGCTCTCTCCGTGTCGCCGGGATAACGATGGATAACGGTCGTAGCCGCAGCTGCCGCCTCCGTAAAGATCTGTTTGAATTTCAAGCAGGTTTAGTTAGAAAAATAAGTGCAAAAAGTACCGTCACGTTTTGACACGCGCTCCATTAAGCTAATGTTTTGGATTTATTTCTTTATTTATACGTTTTACACAACACTGACTGATACTCGTTTATTGCGGCGCAAACTTTTCCTTTGTGCAACTTTTGTAATGTTGGGTTTTTTCGCCGGTTTTCATTGTCCGTGTGATTCATTCTTCAGCGGAGGTGGCGATTAAACCCACTTTGGGATTTTGATACTTTTCCAACTTCAAACACATACTTTTCAAACTTAATGAATGACGACATGGACTCTGAAGTCAATAATTCCCTTTGACTGACGTATCCAAAGTCGATGCAAGAGCGAGACAAGAGATCTTCACGTTTAACATCTGCATTTAATTATCTTTACAATCAGATACAGAATGTTCAACAAAAGTGCTCCTATTCTAGGCCTGCTCTTCCCCTGTCCGTGCCCTGTCCTGTCTGACCTCAAAAAAAACACACAGGGGCTCATGAGGGAGACTTCCGATGACGTCATCCTTATGCGTCCAAGGGGTGGAGTTTCCGGGTGTGCTGACGTCCCTTGTCCACTGGGAGGCGTCAGAATGCAGTTGGTGAATCTCCCAGTCTGCCTCAAGATTCAGGTTCTGAACTCTTGTCCTCGTCAAAATGTTTATTATTTAAAGTTAATAATTCGCCCTGTTTAAACAGCATTTTATCTTTATGACTCATGTCTGATTATCCTGTGTCCTTGGGGTTTTTCCTGAGTGCACAGAGGTCTTTCTGGCTATGATGTTCAAATGGTCAAATATTAAAATATACAACAGTTCCCCTCTGTTGACCTATATTAAACCAATTTAGGTCACAATCTTTCAATATTCCTTCTGGGTGCCGAGACTGGGGAGCTCGTCCATCATCGCCTTGGTTCTTGGTTCTGGCTCGTTATCTGTGAAGAGTTAATACAGAAAGAATACACACACAACAACATTCGAAACATTCCTTACAAAACTCTTTGATGACCACTGCTGTCATTCTCAGTGGCTCTGTGCCATTTTGTGGGGCTTTGCTCATTTTTCCAAACACATTTTGTTGAACCAGGAAGTGCTGTCACTTCCTTCTCTCAGACCGTTTGGGATAAATGTACATTGTTAATCAAAATTGGTATTATCCGTACAGGAGCTAATCTATTTTAGCAGGTTTCTCTGGGGTTAGTCCCTATACAACGGTATTTTGATTCTCTAATCTGTTGCTGACAAATTGACAGCTCTTAAAATTCTCAAAAAATACCTAAATATCTACTTTTGTGCTATACCCAAATACATTAAAATGCTTTTAAATGTTTTTGAATCTCTGTTGTTTCTAATCTATCTCATTAACTTTTGGCATTGTTAACATTCACCTATGTTTGAAACAAGCGAATTTGACAGTATCTAATAAACCTGTGCATAAACTGTAATGAACTTCATCTACCTTTAAAGTAAATACTTTTGGACATAATATGAAGGAAATGGTCCTTTTACCGCTTGATATTAGCCCTGTCTAAAAATAATCTCTATTTTTGAAAGCATCTATCTATTTTATACTCTATTGTGACTCCAAATCTTGGTAGTAGTTTGAGCCAAAGCCTATTCCCAATTTGTGAGTTCTGATTGTAACAATAGCATTGGCAATAGACGATTTTTTATTGGCTGGTTCTTGTTCTGCAAATCACTATTCTATGTATTGTATTTCAGACAATTCCAAAAACAACACAGTCGTTCTCCAATATTAAAGACATACATCTAAATCAAGTTGCCTGAAAGGGATTTTAACTATTTTAAAACGTTTTCCACGATTATAAGGCTATGAAATTAATTATTTAATAAACAAAAGCACATTCATGGCTTCTGTCCGCTGCTTATAACTGTTTAAAGAGTTGTCCCAAACTTAATATGTGTGAATACATCAGCTGTTTGTAATAAACAATAACATTTAACCTGTTCTCCAATGGAGCAGCTCAGAGGCTGCGTCAAGAGCAATGTTATATTTGAGCTATTTTAGATTTAAAATTGTGTTAACGCCTGTCGTTCTATGTCTGCATTTTAATACTACTCTCTATAAACACATCTGCACTAATTCCTACAGATGTGGAAAACAGAAACATCTAAAATCTGACTCCATTTGATTCCTTTTTACTTTAGTTATTAGAACAATTTGACCTTATTGATACTTATTTCCACAATAGAACTATTTTGATTATTCACTAGTCTAACTATTATTACTATTGTTTATTCTGACACCTCTTCTTAGCGACTTTTCAACCTATAGCTCCTCGAATCCAATGACATTATAGCTCCAGACTATTTCATTCTATTCTATTATTATCTTAAAGAGTAGATCTGTTTGATGTTATAAGCGCTATTATTTCTCCTTTTGAATTTGCACAACACTAAATTTAGAATGACCCCCTATGGGACAAATATAGAATTTTATTCCATTTTGGCAACTCCGAAAATTACTTAATAATTTTCCCATTTTGCTTTTTTTTAGGCTGCCCTTTTCTATTATGTATTTGGTCTTGTAAATATATGTTTTACACTTCTTTCTAATGATTTAGAAGGTTAAGGACCATGACCACCTATGACAATAACATTACTATACTCCCTCTGTTGGTCGTGGTCCAAAGTATAAAACATGCATCTGTATGTGTGTAGATTACTGTTCCAATCATCTTCAGTTGTTCCTCCCGGATCGTCCTCAATTCATATTGTGGGCTTTGGTGCCAAAGTAGAGGCTCATTTTCCTCATGATCCATACTACCGTGGTATCCCTGAAGCAGGTGCAGTTTATCTTTCATCTGAAAAACAAACATTAGAACACAAGAAACGCCCACTTTCCTCTCTTCGCATTGTGCAGCCTGTCAATCAATCCAATTGGGCAAAACATAACTACATTGACAGACGGTGTGTGGCATCAGGGCAGAGGCTGTAGCCAAATACAGACTTAACAATATGTATGTTTCTAATTTTATACTCCCCTAAATGTGAATTACAAACCAAAGGTGTCCTCCGCCCAACGACAGCTCACTGCGGTTGGACCGAATCACTGTCAGGACAAACAGCAGAGGGAGGGACTCCCAGTACCTTCAGCGAGGTATTTCATCTCAGAGTACTTTCTCAGAGTACTTTTCTCAGAGTACTCATCCCAGAGTACTCTCACTTTTACACCTGTTCAATAAAGCTTGTCATCTTTGAATCTCTAGTACTTACACCGTATGCTGTTGACAAAAAATAATTATTCCATGATCACATTAAAACATTACAGAAAACTTTTGTTATTCCATTCTCCGTTCAGCATTCCTCATTTCACTCCTCAGTTCACTCCACAACACACTCACAACACACTCACAACACCCCACGTTAGTATTGGTCCAGTTTGTTAAGGTCAACGTAGTGTATTTGACATGACGCACAAACATATAACACACACAAACATATAACATACACAAACATATAACATACACAAACATATAACACACACAAACATATAACACACACAAACATATAACATACACAAACATATAACATACACAAGAGGCCTGTAATTTTAACTTTGTTATATTTTTCCATGTCCAATTACAATTGTCTCATGAGTTATTTTATCGTTGCAACTTTCAGAGCCTGCAGAACATGCAAAGCTTTGAGAGATTTTTCCTAAAAGGATCCATTTCAAACTTTAGTGTTTAAACCACGTGGTCTTTACTCGGGCTTGTCACAAACTGTGTCCCCTATATTTTTAATGAGCTCTTGTCACTTAAAAAAAAACTCATGCACGTGCAATAAATGTTTTTCCTTTTTTTTTTTTAAAGCCAGTTCGGATTCCTTAAAAAATGTAAATTAGTTTCAAACTTTAATACTTCACCCTTGTTTTACGTTCATGTGGAGAAAAGACCATTGTTTTATGTGTGTGTACTTGCACCAATCATGTCTCAGATAAACGGCCAACAGTTATATCAAAGACATAATTGTCCTAATTGTTTCTAATTTAGCTATTTGGAAGAGAAACATGTCATAAAAGATTTCAAAAAATGTCCCTACATCTTTGTTTTCAACCAATGAACAGTGTTGCGTCTATGTGTTATCAGAAATGATCCAATATCACCTTTAGCCAAAATTCAGAAATGCTTTAAATCATTTTTCAAACTCTAATTGTCTGAACAAACCATTTTGTACTAAATGCAACGTCCATTAAAAGCTGCAGTTCTCTTCCTAGCACCAGTTTCAACTGTGCATGTGACTATTTTTAAATAATTAACGAGCCACGGTTCAGAGGTTGAAAACACTGCTTTAAATATCCGTATTACCAAGATCATGCAGTTAAAATCAATAATTCTAAACTTCTCCGCGTCTATAACTTTAAATAATAATACTAGTTTCAATAATAGGGCTCCTCTACCTTAAATATACTGCTGTTCTAATCTCCTTGTGTCTCATGCTAAAGCAAGAGTCTAATTAATTTTAACGATTGTCCTGTATTCTTTCATGCAGCTAAATGTGGTGTTATGAACGAATGACCTAGCTAAATGTATAAATATGACTTAAATTCCACATGTCTCTGTGCGTTTGTTTGTCTGTATATATTTACCTTCTGTCTGTCTCATTTAGCCTGGCCACGTCTTCCTCTTATGGTGTCTTTCAATGTCTTTTGTCTCAAAGTGTCCAATGTCTTTGTCTCAATGTCTTTTTTCTTCTTCTTTCAATCAATCACTTTCTTTCTTCTTCCGACAACTTTTTCTCATGTCTTTCTTCTTCTTTTCAATCACTTTCTTCTTCTTTCAATCTTTTCCTCATAATGTCTTTCTTCTTCTTGTTAGGTTTATACAACGTTCTACTCCGTGCACATAACTCCACTCGGTTTGTGCAAAAGTCTGGTTCTTCTCCATGAAATGGAGGCCGGAGAGGCAGACTGAGATGTTGTTC